AGGTGTGCTCTTGCTTCTGCCAGCAATGGTGTTACCAAAATGGGAGAAGTAGCGCAAAGATTAGGATTAAATTCAAGGATTAAATTCACGTACTGTGTAGTACATGCAGTCCATGTATGTGGATCTGTCTTACTCTGTGGATCCCTCTCTCTCAAAAAAAGATACTGTTTGATCATCCAAAGAGTGGGCTTACTGGGAAAGTTGCTCAAACAAGGCTGGGGGGCGGTGAACAGGACCACCAGAACTCAGTACCTACATTTTAAAAACTTTAAAAGCTCTTTACTTCAACCATTATAAAGATAAGATGTAAACCAAATTGTGGCAAAAAAGGTGATGTCTTATCCTCAATTCATCTTCACTTTTGATATTGTGCAGTCTGATGTGCTCAAATATTGGTGATTATTATGGAAGAAGTGTTGGAACTCCATCATGCAAATTCTGAAAAGTTATGGACATAAGGAGTTAAGAAAATTCACTTTAATATCTTGATTCTTTTTTATTTTTAGAGGCATAAACCCCCATAAACTAACAGTACTGGTATGAGGTCAACCATAGTAAATATCTGTTGCAGTGTGTGGGGGGGCTTTTATAATACAAAAACCTGAAAATCACCATCACTCAATTTGTGCACATTACAAGGATAACTTTTTAAGCGTACAAATGTCTCAAAGGAGATGACTTTAACTTTGGATGAACATGAACTTTATGTACAGAGCATCCCAATGTCAAGTTCTTAAATTATCCCTTAATTAAAAAATGATTGCTGTTTTTGGTTTCAGACTTTGCAAAGCCAGATAATAAACTGCATATTGCACTGTTCAGTATGTTTCACTTGGCTGCCTTGTGGGCACGGTGATTGGTTAGTGTAGTTCTCGTGCTGAAGTACCTATGGAGTGACAGAACTGCAGCTGGCAGCTTGGGGTGCCAGGACAGCAAAAGCTGGCTAACAAACTGGGCTTTGTTTAGATGATAGTCTTGCCTCTTAAAAATGCTCTCTTACTGATTTGTTCAGGGAACACCTACTTAGTTTACATAATTTATTTTTGTATCTGAGTTAGTCCCTTTTTTCCTTTTTCTACTACAGGCTTTAGACTGCTTTGAGGCATAAGGTCTAAGATTCTGATCTGTTGGTGTTTCAGTGCCTTCATACCTCAACTTCTGTGACTGCTTTAGCTGGGTCCTTACCCCTGACTTGTTACTGTGAACATTTTACTCCTAATATGCTGGTCACTGAAATCCTAAAATGGGAAATATGGATTTTAGAAGTTGTCAATATATCAGGAGTAATGGAGAGCTGCCCCAGCTAGAATCAAGTGAAGTATCTCCAGTACTGGGAGCAACATAAGAATGGATTTATGAAGAGGGGAGGCAGGTCTGTTTAACCTGTGTGGGGAGGGAAGATGCTAGGGCAGTTTGACTGCTGTCAGCACCTGAGCTATTTGTAGTTATTAACTCTAGGATGGACAGAGTTCTAAGACAATAGGAGTTGTAAGTAGAGAGATAGGGCAGAAAAGGATTGGGAGTAAAAATATTGAAAAAAATTTTAAGGTGAGAACTAGGAGTACAGTTCTGTAAACAGTCCGGTAGTAACAAAATTCACCTCTTACCTAAGACACATCAAGAAGAATTAAAAAACAAATTGGATTGACAAAATTATTTTGGCTAATTATAGCAATGCAAGATGTTTAGCTTGGCTGACCTCTGAGCTAGGCTGTTTGAAAATTTTGTACAAAATCTTGAATTTCCACTTTCCATATGAAATGGAATATAAATTTCCATATGAATAGAAGGATAAAATATGGAAAAAAAAATAGAATGAATAACTCTGAAAAAAGTTCACTTGCATTATAAAAAATGAAAATGTCAAGATTTTATATGTGGGAAAAAGACAAGATAATCCAAACAGAAATGAGCAGTCTGAAAACTTAACACTATCTAGTTAAAATTGTTGCTTTTTATTTAAACATTTTGATTGATATGAAAATATTAGTTTACTTGTCTGCCTTAGCTTTTTTGTTCAAGATAATGCATCTCTTCTGGCTCTAAAATATGTATCTTTACAGATCTGATTTTTTTTTCCTTTGAAACCATTTCTTGCCTTGTTTCTACTAGTCAGTAGGGAGTAAGGGATGAAAGTAACAAAGCCAAATGAATGCAACTAGCCAGTATTAAGTATGTTCAAGTATTTAGAAGGATACTTGTCTTCCTTGAGATACTGTAAAACAGATGCTACTGTGCCATACACAGCTTGTCATAAACATACGAATCATTTATTTAGCAGTCTTTGTTTAAAGAGTGCTTGTTACCCCAGACAAAATAAAACCCTGCCAAAGTCTTCATCTTCATTTGTCATGAAAAATGTTATTCCCCTGTTGTTAGCTTTTAATGGAGTAGTAAAGGTTTTTAATTAAAATAGATTCGGGGGGAAGTGGTAGGAAAAGCACCAGTTTGATACAATCAGAAGTGCAATTTCGCTGCTATTTTTTTCCAGTCATACAGTGAACACTTTGATGTGTGACTGTACTAACAAAGTCTTTCAGATGTAAACATGACCTTGTGGCTCTGTCAATTTATGTGTATATGTAGATTAAGCTAAAAAGGAACTGGGGTGAGGGAGGAGGAGGAAGGAGAAAGTCAGGTCTCTGATGTGAATCTAGCTGTAGGATTAAGTTCTTTAATCTTTCCCTTAGAGCTCTCTGAAACTAGCAGAGGTTTGAATACAAATTATATCCAGCTTTACTCTGGTCGCATCACAGAGCTAACCTATGAGTCTGCATGTTCTCTGGTCGCATCACAGAGCTAACCTATGAGTCTGCATGTTCTCTTCTGCTGTAATGGTGCTGCAATAAGGTGAATTGAGATTCTGCTCTCAGTGGAAGTTCACCTGCTGGCTTGAATGAGTTCAGCACTAGTCTGCAGGAGCTGTGATAACACACTGTGCTCTGGTACACTGACCTGCTTGCAAGATCTGACCCTGAAAAAGCAGCTATGAGGGCTCCAATACGTATTATATCCTTTCCTTGTGTTGGTGACTATTTGTGATTTCCGTAACTACAGCCAAATCAATTGGAGTACTGTCACTTCTTAGAGCACTTAATATCATTAAATGCTAAGGATGGCATAACTCAAATGCCTAGTGGTGGTCATGAATATGCTGCCAACCGCCCCCCCCCCCCCCCCCCCCAATAAATCCCACCACTATCAGGATCAATGTTCTCTTCTGTCTGCACTAGGAAGTGATTAATGTGCCTTGTTTTCCCGTGGATACTCCTGAGTGTGACCTGTTGAATGAGGTTATCTGCCACACTTACCTGTTGGCAGAGCAGCCCAGCTGAATAGTCCCCAGCCTGTTAACTGCTGATCTGAGTTGGCCTAGCAGAAAAATTACTTTGAATAAAAAGGCTGTTCCCTAGTCGTGTGAGGAGGTCAACAAGCATCTGAGGGGGTGGAAAGGTGGGGTGGGTAGGTAGCTGCAGCAGCAAGGCAGTGATGAGGAGCTTGGGCAGACCGGGAGTGGTAACTGATTTCATGGAACAACAGTTCCACATTACCTTTCTAATGCAAACGGTTTTTCTCTGAACAAAAAATTTAAGTCTGATGTCAGACATATGTGAAGTATTTGTCAGTAAAGCTTTCAATACAAGGTATTTTAAAACAATTTTTTCCCTATTAAAATTTAAAAAAAACTAAAGAAGATATTGGAAGTTTCTGGGGAAACTGTGATGCCAATACTTGTGATGCATGAAACTATCTGTATGAGTAAACTTTTTTGGATCTGAACCAGTAAATGTGAAACTGCTTGAAACAAGTGTTTCTTCTTAGGTGTTTGTACATTCATACAGTGCCAGTTGTGGTGGAATTCTTGGTTGTGAAATAAAAACTCTAGAAATTATTGGGGAGTTCAAGTTTGGCATTGTGGCAGAGTTTGAGGCTTGTTCCAATATGGCCAATTTAAATGTCATAATTTCAAGTGGTTAAATGACATGTAAACAAGGATACTGTATACAGAATTAGTGTGAAGATTTATAAAACCAGTGGAAGGTCCAGTATTTGCTTCTCACAAGAGATTTCTGCTGGAGATGAAAGAAAGCCTTCTCTTAAGTATAGAAATGAAAAACTGAACTAAAACACCTGGCATATTTTTTGTGTGTTAAGTCAGATCTAATTGTTACTGGAATAAACAAGTGCAAATTGTTTGCAGCAATGAAAAGAACTACCCTGTTGGGCAGGGAGTTGCATTTATTCTTGCTTGTTATTATGAAGGATAGATTTGATATTCCTGGTGACTATGAAGATTAAACCAGAGATTTATGTTAATGCAAAGGATTAAAAGAATCTTAATAGCATTTATAAAGATGCAAATGTTAGCGTGCATTTTCTCTTTTTGCAGATGAATGTGCCATAAGGGAAATACTGAAGGGGGAGAACACATCCTCACTCTGAATTGCAACATCTGGTTTAATACTGCACTCAACATGGTCGTTAAGTGTTAGTTGTTTTCACCAGTGTGTTTTTAAACAGTCTAAGTGTGATGGACTTTGTCTCCTTAGCTAACTTACAAATATCAGGAAATAGCAATCTATGACTTCAAATACATAGCGCCTGTTTAGTGTATGGCTTCATGTGTTGCAGATTTCAATGAGCTGTAAATATTGCTCAGTGTATTTTTTTTTTTCTTGCTACTATGTCACTTCCAGACTTATTTTCTGAATAGTAAAGAGCTTGAAATACTGGCTGCGCTGTAGAATTGTCAGCTGTTTTTCCCCAGTTTCAAACTGTTCTCCCAGTGCAAACACAGGCCACACCAGCATGGAAAATTATGTGCTTTATTTGGGAGCCCTGACATATAATATTATACATATATGTACATACATTTCATATGGAGAAATTATAGAAAAAAATATGATTTGAGAAAGGAGGCAATTAAGGTGAAGGTGTAAACATCACTAGCGATTTATGTTTTATTTTTTCCTACTCTTCAACCAATTGTTTACTAACAGACAAGTATATATAAACAGAAGCCACCTGGATTTATTACGCAATTCAACTAATATGACTGTGGAAATGTCCCAGCTCTCAAATCAATATAAATCTTCAAAAGGTTTTGAGTAGTTAAACATCAAATAATCCATATAGTAAAAGTCATAGCTTCGTTGTCGTTGAGAAGGAGAAAGCTCTGCAAAATACTGTTGTGTAATTTTAGTGGTAGTTCTTTCTTCATTGGAGTGCCTATCTTTAAACTTGGGGAAAGTTAAATTTTGTGGAGCACCAATTAAGTGCAAGAAAAAGTTTGCATCTTCTTCCATACTTTCAAATTTTCCAACAAAGTCATAGTCTATTAAACATGGGCTACAAAGCCTATTGACATGATCCCAGTGGATATCCATGCCCACTGGCCTGTGTACGTCCAGGAGATATTGAATAAACTCTTTAAATTTGACTCCAGAGCCTGTCTTTAATGCTTCTTTGGTGGCATTGACACGGTATCTGGAAATGATGGCTTTTCCAAAAACTGGGTGGTAGTAATTGTTTGGATGTTCAAACTTGTCCCGAAATGCAGATACCAGCTTTTCAAAAGGTTCGCGAATAAAAAGCATCTTCGTGTAAGTGTTGAGCCTATGATAAATTCCTTTGTGATCAAACCCATCCAGCCTTTTCAAATAGTTTCCATAGTGCACTGTGTTGTGCTGTATATCTCTTGTGGAAGAAGCCAGCCCATTAAGAACCATGAGCACACGTTTCCAGTTAGAGCAGCCGGCTTTTGGTACTTCACAGTATAAAACTCTATATTTATCTTCTACAAATATTCTAGAAACATGATAAGGAGTGATTATTCTTCTATTATTACTCTTGTATTTAGAACAAGTTTCTCTCATTATCCGCTTTCTTTCTCTTTGGATCTGATAGAGACTTTTCCACTCATTGTTTCTGTCCTCAGATTTAAGTGTGGGCAGGTTGAGAATGGAGCTGTTCATGGAAATCAGAATTGGGCTCTTCTTAATTATAAACTTCCTCCTCCGTTTATGAAGCCTAATGGAATTAATTTCTTCACCTTTCTGTTGATCCTTCATCACAAACATTATGCTGCTTTGCCTTCTGTCTGTGCTTTGAAGCTTGGTGGGCACACTTTCAGATAGGTGTAATGAATCGCTCTGCTTTACCGTTACTACTCTGTCTGCAGTATTTTTTCTTAATCTTCTGTCCTGTTTATTGCTGGAAACGCAGTCCTGATGGGGGGGGAAAAGATGAAAGATGTTAGCAAATGAGGAAGTGTTTGTCACTATTAACAGCTTGTACAACTTAATGTGGATCTATTCATACACTCTGAGTTCAGCAGAATTGTACAACAAAATGCATTGCTGCAAGTCCTCAGTGCTGTGCCTACATTGTGGTAATAACTTTTCTCTTGTCATCTTGTTCTGTGCTTACGTGAAATTCAAAGGCTGAGATGAGCCTGAACTGGTAAATTCCAGTTCAGATGTGGATTTAACTGTATTTTAGGTAGTGCCTGTACTCAGACTTTGATAAATACTTTTTGTCTTGGATACGTTGTCTTTGAAATTTCCACAAAAGGTATCTGAGTATTTTGACGACTTAATTATTCCAGGCTGCCTGTTGTTGTCACACAAATTGTGTGGTTTTTCCCCCCTCTTTCAGTAGCTTATCTTTGCAGTGAGGGCAGTAGTGCACAGAGTGAAGCCTGACAGGGAAGGGAGCTTTATAGTGTTTGTAAAGTGGGGTGAAGATGTAGAGGGAGCAGGAGTGGGAAGAGGGAAGCAGAAAGGACTGCAGGAGTCTTGGAGGCTTTGCAGAGAAGCAGGTTTGGCGAGAGCAGCATGAATAGGGACCCCAAAGGGAGGCTTGAGTGAGGTGAGCCTGGGACCAAAGCAATTGAGACTTGATGAGAAGCGGTAATGGGTGGGAATGAGGCTGTGGCTGGCATTAGGCAAGTGAAAACAGAGTAAGCAAAGTGGGTCTATGGATAGGGTGTTTCTGGGACCTGCTCTTTTTCATTAGGTGGATCTCACTGGTTAATACTTCTTTTGGCACACAGCCCAGATGTGCTCCATTACTTCCTGCTTCTCAAAGCAGCTGAATTAAATCCCTGTCTACATGTCTATGCCTCTAAGACTAAAATTAGGTTCTGGACACTGTTTAACTATATGTCATCCCTGTTTTGAGAACTCATCTGGAAGCTGAGTGGCATATGAACCACTAGGGAGTATTTCAACAGAGGAAGCAGATGTAGTTGCAGAAATGTTTATTGCTTACCTAAAATACTTGATGTTTATTTAGAGGTTTTATAAATTGTAAATTTCTGATTTTCAGTCTTTATTTGCTCCCTAAGAGTATTTAAAACTGGCTTCAAAAATAAGATACTGGATGAATTTTAAGGTGTACAGTTACGGGGATTAGTAGGGTCATGCTCTTTAAAGGTGGCAGATTAAATCTTAATTGTAATAGTGATTTTTACAAGTCTCGGTTTGGCTGAAAAAAGAGATGCTATAGGTAACTTATCAAACTTGTGCTGTCATGGAGGTTATATCTTGCCACATCCTTCTTTAAGGGTGAGAGGTAAAAAAGAGACTCAGTATTCATTACAAAAGCATTGGTGACAAAAGAAGAAAAATCAAATTGTATTATTTTGTAGGTGACTTGCTTAAGTGGATAACTATTATACAAACAGAACAGATCAGTATTAAACACAATTTTTAGAATACTGTGCAAGTTGTTGCAGAACTTAGGCTTCTGAAATGTTTTGCTGGCTGTTCTGGTAGTGGAGGTGGTACGTGATGTGCAGACTGGGAAAGAAACCAACTGATAACTTGTCATGCAAGACACTACATATTCAGTTGTTGGGAGTGATTGTTGTACTCTGCTCTTCAGAGGTTGTTTCTGGTAGTCAAAGGTGTATTTTAAGTTTTTGTCTATGTAAAATACCAGATGTAGTTCTAAATATTACCCTTTACAGAGTGGCTGAAATTCAGTCTTACTCATGATGTGGCTGATATTTCAAGGTTATCAAATTCAGACTTCCTAGATAGTTACAGCTTTAACGACGATGATGATGATGAACCTACAGTTTTTGGGAAACTCAAATGCCGTGATTTGAATGTCTTCTGTCAGTGTAACCCTTCACCCAGAAGGTCAAGCTGGAGCTGTAGAGATGGAGTGATGTCAATCACATCGCACTGATTTTACCAGGCAATGGCATTTGGGTAACAGCTGGCAGCTGCACAGTTGTTCCTTTGCATATTTTGCACTTGTCTTTTGACTATGAAATAGTGAATGGCTGTGGTGGGCTGTCACTGCTGCTGTGAGTGTGCTAACGGCCACTAGATGGAGGAATTTCACCAGTATTTTTCTTTAGCCTATTTTTAATTACCTCTCAAGACATTCATTTGATCAGTACGATTTCATACAGAATATTAATATATGCAAAGTTGACAGTATCTTTTAGCAATATTCAGTCTAGGAAAAAACTCATAAAACCAAAGTTGCATAGCTTATCAAATTCATATTTTAAAAGGAAAATTTGCACTTCATGGCAAAGCTTTGATGCATCTTTTCTTTTCAATGCTTCACGTCTAGTCTAGTGGCCTTATCTGAGCCATCTCTATCCATGCTCCGTACTTGGAACATGATACACTTCTGAAAACTTACTTTTTTTGGTTGCTGGAATCCCATGTTATATTTTATCCCTAAACAGAAAGAAATCTGGAATCCCATGTTATATTTTATCCCTAAACAAAGAAAGAAATTAAAGTCATTATTTCGTAAAAATAAAAACATTAGTTTCATTTTTGTTGGACTGATAAGTGTGTCCTCTCAGTAACTAAAAGGAAAACAGGAACAAGTTCTGTTAATGCAATGATAACTAGACCAATGATGAATCATAATTAATCTATATTTCATAGTAACAATACTCCTTGGAAGGCCTCTTTATTTATAGATGTCATAACAATTGTGAAATGGAGTGAATGTTTCTACCTCCCTTTTACAGATGGGGAAACTGAGATGGAGAAAAATGATTGCTTAACCTCAGCTAAAAGGCCAGTAGCAGAACAAGAAGCAGCTGAAATTCATGATCTCAGGTTAGAGCTCTAAAAAAAGGCTGTTCTTTGTGTACTTAATCATAGTAATAGCTTTCACTGAGTACTATCCTTTGTTGTAAAACCAAAGCAACACACACTGGAGTTACGTATAAGTGAGGTAATGTTTGTAGAGTTTTGGAGAGACAAAACAACACAGAAAAGTGATGTCTACCTGAAAATACAATAATAAAGATGTGAAAATCCTAGAAGGCAGCTTTAGCAGATGTGTAGTATGTCTTTACTGTTCCTAACCTCTGCTAAGTATAAGTTAATAATACAGGACTGTATAATGGAAAACACTTCTTAATTATGAAATTATTTTGGGGCCTTTCAACTTAAAACCGCTGTCATCACTGTCACTGGTGCTTGAGAACTTCAGTTGCTTGAAGACTTTAGTTTAATAAGTCTGCGTTACAAATCCACAGCCTTTTTGACAAGGACAATTACAGGTAAAGGTATTGCAAAGCATTATGAGTGAAAGCATCACTGGAATAGCACAGTCCCATCAGATTAATTTTTCATGGTACTATGAAAGCTCTTGGAAACACTGTGCGTGCATAGTTCACATTGTACCTTATTGCAGTTAAAGTAGCAAGTTCAACTTACGTGATCAATCATGTTTTGTCTTTTTAAATCAGATCTACAGACTGATGTTTACAGTAGAGTCTGAGTAAAATTGCTATGGTTATTTCTATGCTGTTAGAGCTCATCTAGCAGTGCTCATTAGTCCTTTGGCTCATGTTTGAGCTTTAATTCCACTACAGCAATTTGTTAGCAATAAACTCAAGTTAAGGTGGATGGGAATATTGTGATTCTGTGCCTGTTAAAAGCAAAGGGCATATTATTTTTACTTCATCAGAAATAAGTTCCAGACATCTTATAGAAGGAGTCTTAAGCCTTTTCCTAGCTGCTTCTCAAAAATGTTTAACTGCAAAATAAAGTCAGAAGGTATATTCTAAAGAGAAACAGAGCTAATCTGTAGCATCCTTGTGTGGGTTCTGGAGGACTAAAACTGATTCTGTTGCACCAGGCTTTAGGAGATGTTATTGAGCTGTTGTCCAGTTCTTGATGTGATCAGTTATATTACACAGCAGTAGAATAAATGTGGCTCTTCGTTACAGAGCAATGAAGGTATGGAAACTGCTGTCCAAAAAGAATAGCAAAAACTGAGCACCAGCACTTTGAAAGAATTGATAGTAGAGCATGGGTGATCTGTTTAAACCATGAAAATGTTCTGTTTGTCAGCAGGTATAACCTCTTTTCTTTTTCTAACCCTAAAGGCATAACTTTAAGCCACTTGAGCTAGATTTGCATTGGCTGCTTGGCCTCTGCCCTAAGGCATCATTAATACAGCTAGTTGGAGTAGTTGCTTAACTTCTACTTTAGGCTTTCTTGTAGCAGAGCTTGAAATAATATTTGATTTTCCTTATAAATTCAGAATATTGTTATGCTATCTCTTCTCTTACAGGCAGAAATCATACATGTCAGAGTTTTGAAAAGTTAACATGGTTAAGAAATTTAGTCTGGTGTTGTGGGTTGGTCAATTCTACTAACTTTCTATGGATACCTTTTGGTTTCTTGTGTATATGTAATATAATGCACTTAACATTATTATGAGAATTACTACAGACAATAGTCACCATTCTGTTCAGTACCAATTTATTCCTCTCAGGTATTTCATCTTTGGTCTTTCTTTAAACTGGATTGAGTAGTGTTAAGTCATGCCTTGTCCTCTGTCACAGATCTTGGAGATTTACTTTGGCTGTCAATACTGCCAACATGCATGGTGAGAATTTACATAGAATCATAGAATAGTTTGGGTTGGAAGGGACCTCTAAAGGTCATCTAGTCCAACCCCCCTGCTGTGGGCAGGGACATCTCCAACTACATCAGGTTGCTCAGAGTCCCGTCCAACCTGACCTTGAATGTTTCCAGGAATGGGGCATCCACCACCTCTTTAAAGATTATTTATATTTTATAAAACATATTTAAATAATTCTCCTACTGTGAACTAGTTATGCCTACGAGTGTAAGATAGGAGAATGGTTGTGCAACCTTCCCTGAAAGATAAGATGATATAATGTCTACAAATCCACTCCCTTTCTGAAAGCATTTTGAGCTTTTCACAATTGAAAACATAAATAGGTGAGAAAAGACTATCGTAAAACTGGGCAAGTATTTTTGGACAGAATCAGATGCAAATATCGGAGCACTTGCTGTGTCCAAATTGTAATGTAAAAGTTACTGTTAGTTTTTTTCCCCAGGTTTGTTTAGTTATAGTCACTTGTCCTGACTTCAGTGGGAGCAGTGATAGCTTGAAAACCACACACACTTTGTGTAATTAGCCATTAAAATTGGTATGTATCTGCCACGAATAATAATTATTTAAAAAAAACTCACAAAAGTGCAAAGAGCAGGTATGAGACCTATCTTTTTTTGTGGTTAATTATGACTAATTGTGTTTTTTGTAGTAGTGCTTCATAAAGGTAACTTATTTGAGAGACTAATACTTTGCACTGATATGCTGTGCTTTAAAAAATTTAAAATAAATGCTAGTAGGAGATGAGTAACTGTTTAAAAAAAAAAGATTTTTCATTTAGTGGCTTTAAGATGTAATCAAAACAACAATTCATGTTTAATGTAAATGTTTAGCGAAGCACTTGCCAATCTCTTCAATGTTTTCTGAATTTGTGACTTCTAAAGTTGGCTTCTTTTAGCTGTCTTTCTCATGATACAGTCTGTCACTTCAGATTTAAAGCTACATGGAAAAAACCTCCTAAGTGCAGTGAACTCAAGGGAAGTTATATTGCACAGATCTACCTAATCAAAATCTAAATTTAATATTATGCTACATCTTTACTATCCATGTCACTTACCAGCTCTCAGACGTTATTGCCAAAATGGTAATATTTTTTTGCCATGAATAAACCACTGGTGTCTGCTGCACTCAGGTGAAGTTAGTGATCATTAAATGTTTGGTACCAGACACAACAATGACCAACATCTCGCTAGTGCTCAGACAGAGAGAATAGCCGAGAGACAGAATCAGTCTGTCAATTGTACATTGTTTATGTCAGTTTTCATGGTGTTCTTTTCTCTTCCCCTTGTGCAACTATGATTTTCCAGACCTGAGCTTTGGCCTATGTTTTATGTCTGCTTTTGTTGTCTTTTATGAAATATGAGCCTTATGCTTCATCCAGTCCTACCATATAGTCAAACCCATTGTGAGCTCTTCTTTTTTTTTTAAATGCTACTAGCAACACAATAAAATGGCCTTCATCTTCCCTGTGTAATATTATATAGCTTTGCCTCTCTGCCTTCTCCTCTATCTCTGCTTCAAGACCTAATTTTGGTTTGCCTCTGGTGTTTTCCTCTGTTCTGAGACTACACTACAGCTGAAATACTTTTTAATAAAAATGATAACTTCAAGTCTGCATCTGTGACTCCATCCGTTAATGGGCTTCTGTGAGTAGTATATACTTGTTTGCTTCATCCTAACTGATTTGTGAAATACACTCTGGAAGAGCTGTTACTATCATTGCATGAACATCTGCGTCATGTCCTATCTGCATACACTCCAGTCTTAGGTCTTTACTCAAAGACAACAACATGTACTTAATCGCAGAATGAATAGTAGACTAGTACTCAGAATTCTAATTAGCATGAAAAATTTTTAGTTTGAAAAGGATTTTCTCCAAAATATTGGTCAGATCATCTTTTGCCCATTTTTTTGTCATTTAAAATGAACTCAACTTGTAGAGTAAAAAAGAACTGCCTATTTCTGATCCTAACTTACTCTAGTGTCTAATTGTTTATATATGGGAATTACTCATTAAATAAATTTAATTTATTTTAAGATTGCTACCATTGTAAATTATTTGTTTTTACATATATATATAAAATATATATGTAGTGTACCTATTTGGAATACTTCTTAAATATATAAGCATTTTGTTGGAAAATGCTTTTATTTTGAAATTGAGGCCTAATTAATAGAACAAACCTTGTGTGTATCTGTTTTACTTGTTTGCTATGTATATATCCTTTTTATATCTAAAATTTATAGTTTATTTGATTAGTGAAAACCCCCTCAAAAGTCCCCATCTAAGCTACGTACACAGTACCTCCTTTTAATGCAGACGAAATTAATGAGGCAAAGTAAAGAAGGCTTAGCAAAGCTGTAGCACAGCTTAAATTGCACATCAAGAAAGAAGCAAACCTATACAGTGAATCTATATGATCTAACCTCTTTGAGTCCCCAGTGAAGCTGCAAGTATGCAGTCATTTCCCACAGATGAGTAAACTTTTACAGTAAATGCATTGTTAAATGATACACTGCTGAGCCCGTCAAAGCTAAATGCTTAGTGACATCATTGTGTTTTACAGAGACTTGTGAAGTCGTGTATTTCTGAGACACAGTGTCTATTTTCACATCTGTTTCACACTAATCGTTGCAATCATAAAGATAACACAAACAAATTTACTGTATTCCCTATTAATGATAGGGTGCATGCAGGAAAACCTTGAGTTGCCTGCAATTTGACCAAAGAACTGTCTGTCACTCTTGAAATGAATGCAGTCAAACACAGTCTCCGTAGCACCTCTCA